AAAACAAAGTTTTGCTGCATTTATTTTTCTGAATGGGCTTTGCTTGCTGGAGGCACACTGCAGCTCCTTTAAGAGAGGTTATCCTGATTCAGCAGTAACAAAAAAAAAAGCCACACTTTTGAAATGCCTGCTTTCTGGGTTGTGCTGTCTGTGCTGTCAGCGTGAACCCTGATTCTTTCTGGAGGTCCAGCTATGGAGCACTTGAATGGGGTTTGTGGGCCCGGGTGCTTGTATTGCTTATATGCCCACTTGGGAAAGTAGCTGAGACCATACCCGCAGCTCAGCGCCCTCTGCCTGGGCAGGTGGTGGGGTCAGGACTGCTAGGAGTGCACAGGCAGGAGAGCACGACAGATTCTTGCCACCACACACAGAGATATTTCCAGGCTGCACAGTGCTCTGCATGACATATCTAGCTATTACTCAGATAAAAGGATTTATGTGTTGCATGTTCATTCTCAGAGTTAAAGTGCTGAGCATGGCTCCTACCTGGCAGTCCCAGAGTAGGAATAATGGCACCTCTACCATTTTAAAATTGGAGAGAGGTGGAGCCAGCATCCAGAGCCACTGCAACCAAGCTGCTTACCAAGCTGCTTTAAAAGCTCTTCAAGACAGTAAAGAATTACAGATACACAATAGGACAGACTCAGACATAAAAGACCTCTAGGGTCACTGTGTTGAATAAATGTACATAGTCTTGGGAGAGAGAAGAAAAAGAGTATAGAGAGTTAGAAAAGAAGTAAATGGTTTAAAAAATAAAACAAAGTCTTTAAAGACACAGAGTACAGTCAGTCATAAAGAAATAAATAATAATAAGCCACATAAAGATGGAAAATACACAGAGAGTCTGTATTATGTATATTATTGTGTTAGTTTTGAATTTTTTTGACAGCAAAAAATATTTTTGACTGCAGAGAGACATTTGATTCTGGGGATTTCTAAGCTAAGCCAACATATATATTTTCAAAGGTATCTTGAATTCAAAATTTGAGGATATGTTGCTTTGGAAAAGAGGTTATCGTTTTGTTTCCACAGAGGATGAGAACCTGTGGATTGCTTCCAGACTAATATAGTTTAATGGACCAAGACCTCCTGAAAGATTGCCTTGAATACCCCTCAAAAATTATTTCACCCAATAAACAGCAGGAAGTACTTTGGAGAGTACTACACCCAAATTCCCAAATACTGTTTATAAACATTTCTTTGTGTTTAAAGGGGGATATGCTATAGAGACTTGCGTTGGTATGGATCTTGGTTTATTGATGAAAACTTAAGGTCAATCTTATTATATGTATATTTCTGCTCCTGATTAAGGTATCATGATTGTGTAGTTCATTTAAAAGTATAATGTAAAATTAAGAAATATAGGCTAATAGATAGTCATCTGTAATAGTCAAGCTTGTAGTCATGTTAGTTAGGTTTTATAGATATATAGAAATATATTTCAGTTAGCTATTCTTCAAATCTTTCAAAGACCTTCAGAATATGGCATTTAAAATGTTTTCAGAGCTTAGGACTTTTTATGACAATGAGATATATCTGCTCCTGGCTGCACCAATTATTTCAAGAGGAAGATGGGCATTGAAGAGGCTACTTATGGAGTTGGTTAGCCATTTGGGCAAGAAACTACTCTTGCCTGGACTTCTTGATGAACTGGACATGCAGGACCACAGAGAAATGACTGCTGAACTTGCCTAAAGGTGAGAAAGGGCCTTCAGGGTTCCCGTTTCATGAAAGAGTCTGCAAGACATTCTGCAGGACACAGAAAAAAGTAATTGACAAACTGCCAATATAGGTGGAACTGTCTTTGAAATTTTCTGCTTTGTGGAAAAGTCTGCTGGATAGTATGAGCCTGTAGGCTGAAGATAGATGCCCCAACTGTACAGAAGAACTTTGAGTGACTGTCCAGGCAGCAAGGTCTCTCTGTCATTCCTAGAGTTTTGGAAGTTGCTTACAATGTACTTCCTGTTTACTTAGGTAATATTATATCCTTCTGCTATCTTTGATGGAGTTCAAGAATTGGTAGTTATAGTTTTCCTTAGTTATGATAAAAGATAAAGTAGATATAAATTTTATAACTGTAACTCTTGCTTGATACCTGTTTTGTATATGTAACTTTACTATGTTAAAGTTAAAACATTCATTTTATTTAAACAGAAAAGGGGAAGTGATGTTGGATTTCCCTTTATATTCTGTGAATATGATTGATTGATTAATTAATAAAAAAAACTTGCTTGACCTGATAGGGCAAAAGAATAGAGGTATGCAGAGAAAACTAAATGGAATGCTGGGAGAAAAGAGATAGAGTCAGAGAGAAGCCATATAGCCCCGTGGGAGCCAGATGGAACATTAGCCGGTAAACCACAGCCACATGGCAATACACAGATTAAAAGAAATGGGTTAAATTAATATGTGAGAGTTAGCCAATAAGAAGCTAGAGCTAATGGGCCAAGCAGGGATTTAATTAATACAGTTTCTGTGTGATTATTTTGGGGTTAAGTAGCCAGGAACCAACAAGTGGCCTCTCTCCCTCCAACACTGAAGATAAAGAGCTAGACTGGGGCAGGCTTGGTCCCTGAGGCTGCCTGACCCCTGAGCTGCTGTTGTAAGTAACCAACAAGTGACCATGACTGATGTTTCCGGCTGCTAGCCCTGCCCCTGCCCTTCCCAAGCCTTCCTCTGCATAGTGGTCAAAGCTTCAGTACCCTTCAGAAGCAGTCTGAAATGTTCTTGGATATATGCCTCCTTCCTCATCAAGTGCTTGGTTTCCCTTCTCAAAGATGATGCAGGAGAAGGCCTTACTTTAAACACTACGAGGAATCTTTGTGAGGTAAGAAAGAGCAGGCCATAGATGGAGTCCCGTAGTCCCCCCCCCCCCATCCCCCCCCCCCCACCGCCTTGCTCTCTGTGTTTTGTCTCCAGCAGCACGTGTCTGCACCCATGTCTCAGATATGGAAACTTAAGCTCTGATATAGTTAAGGTCTGCTCAGAGTCACCTAGTGCCCTTTGCAGCAAGTGGTCTTCCAGGTTGGGGGTTTGCATCCTAGCTTCGCTGGGCCTCTCCTCCCCTAAGGGAGTAGGGCTTCACCTCGAAGTTGCTTTGAACAGTTGCAGTGGAGTTTGCAACTCTCTGAACTAATCTGCTAAATCCCAGGGGCTCTTCCTTGTAGGGTGAGAGACCATCAATCACATGAGGGAGCCTGCCCTTCCTGCAGCTTCCACTTGATGCCCCAGGTGGTGAGCCTGCTGTAACTGTCCCAGCCCTCCCTGCAGGCTAGAAATGGGGTTTCTGACCCCTGAGTTCTCAGATGTCTTTACAAGGGGCAGAGTATGATGGATAGACTTAATATTTCTGTGTGATTATGGGTAGGATCTGGCTCAGCACAGTGATTTCCAGTTCTGCCCATTTTTCTGCATGTGCCATGATTTCATTTTTCTTTATGGCTGTATAAAATTCTACTGTGTAGACAGACTTGTCTTTTCTTTATCTTTTCCCCAGTTGTTGGGCGTCTGCCTGGTTCCTTCTTCTTACTATGATGAACGGTGCTGCTATAAACATAGATACATAAGGCATTTTTCTCCAGTGTGTTGACTGAACCCTTTGGGAATATGCCCAAGAGCAGCACAGCCGACTTGTGTGGTAGTTGCACATCGAGAAACCTCCGTATGGATTCAACAATGGCTGTCCTAGGTTACATTCTTATCAGCAGTGAAAAATGGCTCCTTTGCCCCATGTCTTCACCATAATTTACTGTTGTTTATTTTCTCGACTGTGGTGAGATTTGTGGTTTTAATTTACATTTCCCTGGTGGCTAAGGGCACTGGACATATTAGAATGCAGGTCTCGACTGTTTGTGTTTGTTATGTGGACTGCCTGTTCAGTTCACTGACACATTCACTGACTGTGTGTGCTTAGTCTTCACCATCCTTTCTGTTTCCTGGATACTAAATCCCTTGCTTGAGGTGTACTTGGCAAAGAGTTCTTCCTGTTCTGTAGGCTGCCCATTCATTCCAGTGTTTGCTCTCTTTCTTGTATGGAAGCTTCTTGATTTCATTTCATCCCTCAGAGAATTATTTTTTGTGCTATTGAAGACCTGTTCAGCAAAAAATCCCAGGCAAGAAGACTTTGATATAGTTTCCTAGATATTTACTGAGTGTCTACTACATGGCAGCCAAGTGGCTCAGTTTGCTTGCACCACACAGATTTGACAAAGACAAGGGGAGTATAATGGAAAAATTAAAAATGCTACAGGATCCCCGGCAGCAGCAGGCGGCAGAAATGCTGTAGGTCCCCAAGTGGTGGTAGTGGGCCATGAGGCGACAGGCAGCAGGTCCTAAGAGCTGCCGGTCACCGAGAGGTGGTTGGTCCCACACAGGGAGACACATGGTGGGCAGACAAGAGACAGAGACATGGATAGGCATGCCATGCAGAGTGAGGTGAGATATTTATTCAGGGAGTTATGGAGGGAGAAGGGAGAAGGGGAGGAGAGAGAGAGACAGAAGGAAGGGGAGAAGCTGCCTGTCCGAGAGGAAAATGGAAAAGAGAGAGAGACTAAGGCTGCAAGCAGGAAGGAAGACCTGCCTGCCTCAGCGGATGGGGGATGGAGTGGGAGTGGCTTGTCTCTTAAAGAGACAGAATAACCATAACAAGGAGGACCTTCCCGGAAGCAAGACTTTATAGGACTTAGGCTATCCTTTCTGCTTGGAGCCAAGCCCCTCCAGCCTGTCTTCCAAGGACTCCAAAGGCAGAACCAAATCCGAAGCCACTGTGCATCCCAGGGCACTCTGCCCCTTCCCCTCAGTTTGAAATGTTCAGTCTGTGACTAGCACCTGAAGCAACACATGGAGCGATGGCCAGTTTCATGTCAGCTTGTGTCGGAACCAGCCTTGACAAAAATACCTTTCTTCCAAAGTGGAGGCGGGGGAATTTAGAAATATAGTAAAGAATACAAAGACGCGAACAATACTAAAACACAAAAACACATAGGATAGTATTGGGAGGGAATTTCAGTGCGTACTGAAAATGTGTGCATGTTTAATTTCCAACATCTTAATATACCCTTGATTTCAAAAGGTAGGAGTAGAACAAAAGAACTGCATTAACATACAAATTGAAAGTCACGGGGCACGTTCCTCTCTCATGCCCTTGACTCATGCCCTAGACCACTCTGTAGGCAAATCACTCCCTGGGTGGCATCGCGAGTTATTTCCATAAAGGGAACTAGAATTTAGCTGGATCCTTAGACTCTTGTTTTAGGTGGGAGCCAACTACTTCCCTGTTTCAGGTCTGGCTTCTAGCCACATCTGTTTACGATAGCCTTGAGAGAGCGGAACTCTGATTTACCACTAGATGGGACCTTTGAGTTAGAAGCACAATAATCTTGAACTAAAAACAAGTCCCTTTGATCTCTTTGGGCCTCCACAAACGACACAAGTTAGAGTCGCTTAGTGAGAGGATTACCCCTGCTGGATTGGCTTATGGGCAAGCCTGGCGTGCATTTTCTTGATAGATGATTGATCTGGGAGGGCCTGGCTCACTGAAGGTGGTGCCATCTCTGGGCCGTTGGGCTTGGGTTCTAGAAGAAAGCAGGCTGAACAGGTAATGGGGCACAAGCCCGTCAGCAGCTCTCCTCCATGGCCTCCGCATCAGCTCCACTTCCTGCTTTGAGATCTGCCCCGGTTCCTCTGATGAACTATGAAAAGTGCAAGTGAAATCAACCCTTTTTCCTCCTCAAGGTGCTTTCGGCTGTGGTGTTTCACCACAGCAATAGAAACCTTGACTAGGATACGGGGACAGTGGGACAACTGAGGGAGGAGGCAGAGTGGCCGGCGGCCGTCTAGAGAGTCGCTGTCAGATGGAGAAGGGTACTCTGCTCCAAGCTTGGGATGGTAGAGCCAGGGGGCCAGTTTCGCAAGAGAATCAAGACTCCCTATGACTGTGGCACCCCTGCAACTTGGGCAGGAGGAAAAGCGAGGTCCTGCAGGGCACCCAGAGAACATAAAATAGGGTTAAATGAGTTCCTTCACCTCCTCCCTTGGAAGAAGTAGAGGCCCAGAAAGGGGAAGGGCCTTGTCCACTGCTCAAGTGGAACAGGGATCTGGTCTCTTGACTGACCAGGGTCTTCAAACATTCTGATCAAACAGAAGGCTGTTCTGGAGGCCTGCAGGCCATCTTCCTGTCTCAGTCTGCAGCCGACTTTGCTGCTAGGGGCATCTGTAGCAATGAGAAGCACGGAGGGGGAGGTGGTGCCTTAGTTAGCTTAGCGGAGGACTCTGCCCATCCTCCCTTCCCCGCCCCCCACCCCACTGTCGCCTTTAGCATGTGCTTTTGCTGGGATCTACCATCCAAGCCTTCGGGTTGGGGAATTTGCCATTGAACTCCCACAGAGAAGTTAAGTGCTCAGTTTTGCAGGGGTTTGACGCTAGACTCTGACCTGATGACAGCTGCAGTCTCCCCAGGTTCTGGAGGCTCTCTGACCCAGCTTCCTCCTGTATCAGATAGCTTGAAGAATTCCTACCTGGAATGAAGGTTGATAGTAATTTGCTTAAGGTTTTTGTCCTAAAATGAGGTGCCTGTTGAATGGGTCCATTGTCATGCTTCCTGTGCCTTTATCTAGGATTGATTGATAGACAACAACCTGGTCTATGTTCAAATTGCTCAACATGAGGAGTTTTGGCATATGTCTACACCTGGGAACCGCATTAATGTTCACAGCTGATTGCCCTTCTCTCCACATTTCTTCCTGTGCTGTATTTGTCCCTTCTGTTCCTTTCTGTCACCTTCCCACCTCAGCAACGACCAATCTGCTTCCTGTCACCCCAGCGTGCGTTTCCTGGGCCTCAGGAGGGTGGAGTTCTGTAACACGTACCCTTCGATCCGTCAGCACTGTTACAATGTTGGTCTCTGGTGTGCGAATCAATCATTTCTTCCTTTATTGCTGAAAGGATGTGGGTGTCCCACAGTTTAACCACTGACCTTTAGGCAAATATTTGGATGGCTTTCAGCTTGCAAGTATTAAATTGAACTATTCACCAGGAATTTGTGTGTGTGTGGGATCTTTATATAGTCACAGACATAGATTTCTCTTGTGAAAACCCATGGTAGAGAACGTCTGTGTCGAGCATTTGGTGTGCATTTGCTGTTTAGGAAGCTGCACCCCATCTTCTAGAATAGCTCTGCAGCTGCTCCACTGCCTTGCCGGTGTCTGTCTGCCAGGTGACTTTAGCTGCAGCCACTTTCTCTGGGGCGTCTTTCCTGCAGTCCGGTCTGTATTTCCCTCCAGGTTAATGTTCAGCCGCTTTTCATGTATGCGTCTACTAGCTACATATTTCCTTATATGAAGTTTCAGCTTAAGTCTCTGGGCCTTTATTAAAAAGATTATTTACGTGGGACTGGAGCGATGGTTCAGAGTTTAGGAGCATTGACTTCCCTTCCAGAGGTCCTGAGTTCAATTCTCAGCAACCTCATGGTGGCTCACAGCTGTCTGTAATGAGATCTGATGCCCTCTTCTGGCATGCAAGCGTACAAGCCGAGAGAACACAGTATACATAATAAATAAAATAAATCTTGAAACAAGCGTTTGTATTAAAAATCACATTGAGTCTCTTTTTACAGTTTGATTGGAAGATTGGCTTATATATTCTCCCATCGAGGCTTTATTAGCTAGGTTTTGTAAATATTTCCTCAAATTTGTGCTCTGCAGGGAGCTGCAAACAAATAACCTAATAATTGTAATTGGGTTGAGTATGATGTCCGTTCTGGTAAGAGGAGACTAGCGGTCCTAAAGTGAGAAGTGTCCTGGGAGAGAACGGATGGTTTCACAGGCAACGAAGAGTTAGCTGTGTGTCGGGATGAAGCAGAGGCCGCGACTTGACAGAGTTAAGGGTGCTTTGATCTGCTTTGAGCAGTAGGGTTTGGAGTCGGTGGAGGCGGTCTGTAATCCCAGCTCTCTGATTACACTCCTCTTTTTCAGTCCTTTTTGCTCTGAAATAATTACAGAATTCACCGAAAACTGCACAGGTGGTTCAGAGCCGGGTAGGACCCAACTGTGGTTTCCCCAGTGGCTCCATCTGGTATAATTACAGTACACTGGGAAGGATGGGTCCCGAAACCACTGTGCTGACCAGGCAGGGCTCTGCTCTGCGTAGACCAGTGCAGCCACCACTGCAATCGGGCTTCAGAAGTGGTCCATAACCACAGAGACCTCCCTCGTGCTCTGCTTTTGACATCTCACTGGCTCCTCCCATTTCTGCATCCGGTTGTCTCACACAATATGCAATCTTCAGAGATGCGCCTCAACCCCACCGACGTTGTTGGCTCCCGCTTGTTCTCTCTTTTTCATTGCTGAGTACTATTCCACAGTATGGATGTAAGATATCCTAGCCTGTATATTCCTTACTTTTCTATAGCTGCGATAAAACACCTTGGCCAGTAGCAAGTCAAGGAAGAAGGTCTATTTTAGTTGATGAGTCCAGAGGGTTAGAGTTTATAATGGTAGGGATAACATGGCAGCAAGGGACAGGCATGCTGGCAGGAACAGGCGAAGCAAGGTCAATAAAAACTCAGAGAGAGAAATTGAGGTTCAACCTGAAGACCAGAAAAGAAAAGCAGTCAGCCACTGGCCACCTAGACCTCAGTTCAAAATGGCGATCCTGTCTCCAGGAATCAGAATGAGACTGTGTCTGAGAGCTCTCTCCTCCCATTTTATAACCCTCTCTAGGACTGGGATTAAAGGCATGCACTGCCCGGTTTTCTACGGCAGCTAGTGTGGCTACCGGGATTAAAGGTGTGTGTCACCACTGTCTGGTTTGTAAGGCTGACCAGTGGGGATGTTTTACTCTCTGATCTTCAGGCAAGCTTTATTTATTAAAATACAAATGAAATGCCACGACAAACAGGACACAGAGAGCTCACATCTCAACCCCATCAAGGAAGCAAAGAGCGAACTCTCAACCTCTCCAAACGGGGCCACCACCTGGGACCAAGTGTTCAAATACCCTAGCCTGCGGGGAATAAATTTCTCAATCACTACAGCCCTTTGCCCATTGAAGGCTATTTTAGTTCCTCTCAGACTTGGGACTGTTGTCAGCAGCTTTTGTAGGAACATAAAGTTTCATTTTTTTTTTTTTCTGGGACAAGTGTCCAGGACTAGAAACAGTGGATTCTATGGGCACACATGTTGTTTAATTATTTGAGACTGCCAGAATGTTTCGTAGCATGATAACCTAACTGCCTTCCTGCCCCCCGTCTCCCTGCCTACGCCGGGTGATTGCCGGTGCGTCTTCTTCAACTGCTCCAGTCACTGCAGGGGAAGCTTCTGTGCCCGACTGCCTGTTTTCCTGACTGAGAGTGACGTGCCACTCTCGGATCTGCCTGCTTGAACTCAGACCTGTCTGCTGTTACAGCCTACAGCCTAGTGTGCCCTCTGACGGGTTCCCTCCTTCACCATGTCCAGGACCTCCCCAGATGTGTTCCCTCTTCGACCCAGTTCCTTATTCTGGGTGGCTAAGGAAGGAGATATTTCATAGAGCCATTTATTTGTCCAGGGAGGACGGGTTTTTTGTTTGTTTGTTTGTTTGTTTTGTTGTTTTTGTCCTTTCTCTTCAGAGCTGAGCAAACAACCTCCAAGCGCTTCTTTTGCTGTGGTCTCACCCTGCCCCTCCCTGGCACCAGTGTCGCGCTGTCTGCCCCTCTGGAACTGGCCCCTTGGGGAATGTTTGCTCAGGGTGTTTTGGCGTGACAGTGCCAAGCGTAGCCACCCGTCTTCAGGCCCACCTCAGACCCAGTGTCTTCTGCTCTTCCTTCCTCAAGGCACAGAGGCGGTTTCTGCACGCTGCAGGAAGAACATAGGCACCTGACAATTACAACACGCTCACATCCTGGGCCTCGAGTGTTGCTCCCCGGTTAGTTCGTTTATCTTCACCATCAATGTAAGAGGGGTGTAGTTTAAATATTTGGACACAGAAAAGCAGGCATGCAAAAAGGTTTTACAGCGAATCACTAGGTAGCTGTTGTGACCCCAGCAAGGTGACTGCTGCCTCAACTCTACCGGAGTCTGTGAGGACACCCTGCTGTGGTGAGCACACTACTGTGTGCCTGCAAGGTCACGGTCACGGGTCTCCCCTTAGGGACTCACCAGAGAAGAGAATCTGTGGCCAGTTTTGCTGGAGCTGGAGCAATCTGGGGTATTGCGATGGAAAATGAATAGGGTTGAAGAAATTTCCCGGGAGGACAGGAATATCCTTGGAGAGCTGGTGGGGCTCCACTCTGTGTAGGTGCCAGAGGAGCTTAGGTTTCAAATACCACACCCACCTGGGGCAGGGATGCAACTCTGTCTCTGAAGCAGCTGTGTGCTCAGGGCCCAGGCGTAAGCTCTCTGGGGGGAGTGGCTGAAAGAAGGTAGTACAGGTCCCTGACCTCGGTTGGGGCGGGGAAATAGCATGTGACCTCACTAGTGCTAAGATTGTTAACTATGAGCCCAAGCAGAGAGAACTTTGAGAGTCATCTGTGGTGACTGCTACCACCACCACCACCTAAT